CCTTCTGTTCTTCACTTTAAAGATGATTAAACCCACAATTTGTAAAGCATCAGCCAAAGGGAAGGTTAGCATGATCTATTGTTGACGATGAAATTTCCCTTGGGACAGAATGTATTGAGAGTTACTTTTCCTCCATTACAGTCTTTCTAATTCTTCCAACTAGTAAAAAAACTGTTCTATTTTCTCAAATGCAAAACAGTGGAAGTTCAGTGTAGCTACAGAGAGGAAAACTGGAAACAAGTAAATGATTTTTTTTTTTTTTAAATGGCACTTAGAATTGCAGATTTTTTTTTCTAAGTTTCTATATGAACGACCAATACTTGAAGAAAATCTCAAGTTTCATTCTGTTAGAGATACAGGTATATTTTAACACAGTGGAAAATAATTCCTTTTTAATATAATGCTTCTTGCATTTTTTTATTTTTAAAATAATAATAATAATAACAACAACAATAATAATTTCATAATATTATATATCATATTATAATATTATATATTTTAATATTATTATATATATTACATATAATATTATATATTATGTTATTATAATATTATTTCAATAATAATAATATTTATAATAACAATATATTACATAATAACAATAATAATAATGATTTATTTATTATTATTATTATTATTATTATTATTATTATTATTATTATTTTAGTTTGGCTTTTGCTGAAGACAATTTCTTGGAATATATGCAACATTAATTTGATGCTGGGTTGAGATTACTGGGCTTTAGCTGCAGTATTATTTAGAAAGATATCTAATCCAAGTGAAGAATGAACATCTCAGCTTTTTCTAATGTTTATTTGTAGAACACAAATGCCAACCTTTGCAGAAGTCAGACTGCATTCTGAAATTATTGCTGTTCCAATGCAATGAATTTTTATCTAAATATATTCAATGAAAGTTGAAGATATATATATTTAGGTATATCTTTGCAGTCTAGAAATCTATTAAGATAAATCCCAACAGAGTTCCAGTAGCATGCAAAACTTACTTCAGTTATGATGCAGAAAGGAATTTAAGTTCTAGTATAACATTTCATAGATTATGGACGTTTGCTTTTTTCTTTTTAAAATGAAATGTTTACTTTCTTGGTTAAACATAGCTCCATCTTCCTGTAGTTATCCAATGGCAAAATCTTGATCATGAAGTTTTGCCTTTATTTCTTGGAGGATGGACTTCTCAGGATACGGCTGTTGAACCACATATTATATGGTATATAATAAATAATTATATAATATCATTATATAATATATATAATATAATAAATAATGTTCAGTATTAAACGAAACAGAAATAAATGTGTCCTTAAAATTAAGCTGGGGCCTACTCGTTTAATCAAAAAGAAATGCTAAATGAAAAAGAAATAAGCATGTACTTAAGCATTTGTTGGAACTGAAGTCTGCTTGCTGAGTTAGAGGACAGATTTTTTTGGGGGGGAGGAGGGGAATTATTTTTTAACAGTGCTCTTCATACAAACACAGATGGAGCATTCAAAATGTCCTGATTGCTCACATGTCCTCATGATCTGTAGCCAGGATCTGGTACAAATTTTTTTAGCTCAGTCAAAACAGGACTTCATCTGGAAAACAGCAGATGGAAGGAAGGGAAATGTTCCAAATTTTTAATCTTTTTTTTTTTTTTTTTAATTTTTTTTCCTGAACAGATGTTGTTGAGATGATTGAGCTACAGAGCCACAAATCCAACCAAAAATGGATATAGAAATATATACAAACATATGCTGATATTTGGTATATGGGTCATTAGGCAGACTACAGTCAGCTATGGCTGCCATGAATATCTACCTATCATATGACAGAGATGACAGTAGTTTTGCTAGGCCTGAAAAAAATGAATTTCATGTACATTTTTGATTTTTCTTTTAGTCAGGAGAAAAGCTAATGACAACAAAGATGCTTTAATAACTGTCAATGGATTCAGCAGAGGAGTGAGAACTTGGTCAACTGCAAGCAGTAAGGTACATGGAATAGAATTTTACTAAAAGGAATGCGTTCAGACATGGCTCAGGTTCACTGAATTCAGTCTGGGGCAATAATTTTAATGAAAACTGCCTGATGGGATATTAAATGCACAACAGAGTAATTGCACAGGACAGGATTTTCTGTGCAGCTAAGAAGTGAAAGTTTTCTCACTGAATTGTCAGTAAAAGATGATCTTATTAGAATAGTATTACAGGGTCTGTTGATATTACAGTGATCATGATTAAATAATTCTGATTTTCTGATATCAATTATTAATCTTAACATCTTTAAAAGAATGCAGGATTTTGATAGCTGTTCATTCACATTATCACAGTATCAGAGAAACACCAAGGTTGTTGTAAAAGACCTTCAAGATCATCCAGTCCAACCACCCTCCTATCACCAATAGTTCTCACTAAACCATGTCCCTCAACACAAAATCCAAACGTTCCTTGAACACCTCCAGGGTCGATGACTCCACCACCTCCCTGGCAGCCCATTCCAGTGCCTGACCACTCTTTCAGAAAAGCAGTATTTCCTAACATCCAGACTAAACCTCCCTTGGCACAGCTTGAAGCCATTCTCTCTAGTTCTATCACCAGTTACATGAGAGAAGAGGTCGATCCCCAGCTCACTACAACCTCCCTTCAGGCAGTTACAGACAGCAATGAGGTCTCCCCTGAGCCTCCTCTTCTCCAGGCTGAACAATCCCAGCTCCCTCAGCTGCTCCCCATAAGCCCTGTGCTCCAGACCCCTCACCTGCTTTGTTGCCCTTCTTTGAACCCGCTCCAGGGCCTCAATGTCTTCCAAACTAATCTGTAAATGAAGAGCACTTCAGATTTCTTTTTTTCTAAATCTCTCCAGTTAAATTAAACAAATGCCAAACTATGAAAATTATTAGTGTGCTAATTGCAACTTATTATTGCTTATTCTATGCAGTAACTTCCCAGTTGGAATTCAGTAATTACGAAAAAAGGGGATCCCAACAGGCACCTATTTTATACTGGAATGCTAAGCATTACTGCACAACATTAACACTTTGTGTTGCACAACAGAAGATAACAAAGGAATTATATAGCTGTATTTCTATTATCTGGCTGAGAAGCCCAGAAATTGAATTTATTTTGAAGAGAATGGTTTATTGCCACTGTGCAAATAACAATGGTCTTAAAGAAATTATGTGGTACACAAAATAGCAACATCAAAACAGTATTTCCCTTAAAAAAAAAGCTTCCAGATCCTTCCATTAAAAGCATTACACAGCAAAATATTATACTATATGTTCTAAAGATCTTCTAGTTCCATTCAGATCGTATTTTATTGGCTACAGAGAATACAAATTTCTTAATTCTTTGAGGCATGAAAAGAATACAACAGCAGAAAACTGTATCAGTCTATGTAGAAGTTGTAATTCTGTTTTAATTTAAATATATCTTGAAGGGGAAAAAAAACGAAAAACATGAGGAAACTCAATTTGAATGCAAAGCACTGGAGCATCTCTGATTCTTTTACTTCTGTTTTCACCAAAAAACTTTCAATCTAAAGCAGTAATTGAGAAAATGTCTGGAAAAAGAATTGTAAGAACAGATAAACAAATGATATTAAACAATCAACCAACCAAACCAAACACAAAGGAGTTCACGTCACAGAATCACCCGGGTTGGAAGGGACCTCAAGGATCATGTAGTTCCAACCCCCCTGCCTAGCAGGGCCACCAAACACACACATTCAGATCAGGTTGCCCAGGACCCTGTCCAACCTGGCCTTAAACACATCCAAGGACGGGGCATCCACAACCTCCCTGGGCAGCCCGTTCCAGGGCCTAACCACTCACGTCACACTCGTTATTTTTACAGAAACAAGTCTTTTACCAGAATTTTGGAGTATATTACGAAAAATCAATTAGATTTTTTCTTTTTAAATGTTTAAATTTATAAATGTTATAAACCCACCCACTGTAGAATTCTTCAGAAAAAGAAAGTGCATTGCTTCCACCACAATATATACGTACTTTGGATTCCACTAAAACCTGTCTGTATGTATAGCATTTTCTAACTCGGTCCTCACTGCTATTCTGCCAAGATATCAGAAACACATAGAATTAATAAGGATAGATGACAAAATGATCATTTTGTGGAAACTGTTTGCCATAAAAATAAATTTTAATATTTAAATCAAACAAAATGACAATTTCTACAATTTAAAAATAGATATTAAAGATGTCTCCAGAAAACATGGCTTTTTGCCAATAAAAATAAATTAAGAACAAGAAAGTTGAGATAGCCTAGAGAAAGCTACTTGTACGTGTAGGAGCTAAAGCCATAATTTTATCAAGATTGAAACAAAAAGATAGAATGAATACCTCTCACACAAATGGAAGGGAAGGCTACATGGCAACATGGAAAACAGGAAGAATATAAAGAGGCAGATGAAAAGTGGTTTGGTTAAATAGAAGGATCATGTAACCTTGTATAGCTCCATAGCAGGCATGACCCAAAGGTCAGAGACAGAATGAAGGCTGTAAGGGACCTCTGCAAGTCAAACCCTCCAGGAACAGAAAAAAAAATCCAAGTAAAGGAAAGAAAGAAACAAACAAACAAAACAAAACCACACAGGAAGTGCAACAAAAAAATAGAAAATAAAACTATGAGGATACAAAGGGGAATAGACAGGCAAGCAAAGGATGAGGAAATGGTAAACTGGATGCGTTTAATAGTGATAACTGTACCAAAACCAATGTAATGTGATATAAGCCAATCCAGAACAGATTTCTGGTTCAAGGCTAAACAGTAAGCCATTCAAATGGGAACAGTACAAGAAGTTTCTAATGTAATTAAAAAAATTGTCTAAATAGTTTCATAATATTCCCAGAAAACATTATGATGTACAGAGAACAAAGCTGGATCACATTAGAAGATGAAACACTGTTTTAACTTCACATATATCATGAGAGCAAATATGTACTATTTCAGTCAATTTTCAAAGGTTAGAACAATGTGGAAGACACAGTTTTAACAGAATTTATTTGCTCTAGATTTAAGAAAGAGAGACAAAACAAAGCAATTATAAAATCTTAACAAGATTTCATTCTGGTTTCCTGAACTCCAGTCAAGCTTATGAACAGAGACATTAGGCATTAATCATATGCTGGTAAACCAAAAAGCTCTGGTTTAAAGTCCTCCATGGAATTGAGCAGTAGAGTCGCCTCCTTTTTAAGATCAGGACTTAAATTTTCATCTGGAATCATAACCACTTGCATTCCTGCTGCCAGTGCTCCTTTGACTCCAAGCGGTGAATCTTCAAACACAAGACACTGAGAAACAAGGAAGTAAGGAAAAAGAAGAGGAAGAATAATGTTATTACAAACTTTTAATATTCTATTTATAAAGAAAGAATGATACTGAATAAAACAGATTTAGACAATCCCTAATTAGAACATGGCTAAACCTCCAAATTTGAACATCTGCAAGGTAACTAACCTTAAATTAATTAATTAATTCAAAAAGCATCAACACACATATTCAAATCCCAACAATTGATTATCCAGATGTTTCTAAGAAATTTCTTTTATAGCAATAGATTTAAACAGAGGCTTAATGTAAAGTTAAGCGTGTGCTTACATAGCTTTACAAGCAGGCAATTTAACTAAGACCAACTTTACAACTTTGCATTTCTCAATGTATATGAGAGGTGAAAAGACTAAAGTACTTAGGTCAATATTAGGACTCTGAGTGAGTGGAGAGTTAGGTAGAAATTATTTGTCAGAAGAGTACTGCTGAATTAATTGCCTCATGTTTTATTTCTTTCAAAACAATGGTGACAAGAAAATCAGCAATTATACTGGACTGCTACTTTCAGAGAATACAGTTTAGTCAGGTTAAAGTTACATATCTTAAAACCGTCAAAATCGCAGAGTAGTGAAATTACGGACAACGTGAAATCAAGGTTGTAAAAAATAATTATTGTTTGTGTGAAATCTGAGTTTAACAGTACAATACTGAATAAGAAATACAGTATTTTTCAAATTGAATGGCTATACTTTTTTAAAAAAAAATTGCATTCATTTTCTCTGTTTCGGCATTTAAACTAATCTGGATAACATACTGTAGCTTTTGATTACTGGATTAGAAACTGACTTTTCTGAAAAAAGCAAGCACTTAGTATCTTAGTATTTTTTAAGTCCTAACATAAAGGTACTTCATACTATTCGGTTTAATTACTTCAGCAATTAAATTGAAATGTTGTAGATTAAACTAACTAAAATAAGAGAGATGAAACATCCAATCTCTTTATATAGCATGCATTATCCATATACATATATAAGAAACATACAAAGTCTGGAAAAACTTGAAAGAAAACAACCAAAGGTACGTTCTCAGAGTTTCAAATTACAAATATTATTGGAAAAAAATATTCATGTGTGCTTTAAAGCAACAATCATGAGCTCAGTCAACTACATAGTAATTAATATTCATTAAAAATAAATATGACTACCAAACGTACAATCTCACCTTCAGTACTGTTTGGTTTGCCTAAGTAAAATTTATAAAGCTACTTCAGCATCTGATATAAAATTAGATTTCGATAGATAATACTTCTTCATACTTCCCACCACCACAATATTTTTACTGACCTCAAAGATATTAAGATATAGAATAACTAAAGTGCTGAAAAGTTTGTCCTCTCAATTTTTTTGCACGTATCTGAATAATACTGGAGTTTTTGCAATTGGCCAGTGCACCATTTCATAGAACTCTTCATTTTTCCTTACTATATGGGTAGGGTACATTTTAGCAAAACACAAGTATTATCTAGACATGAAATACAGTACTGAAGAGTTGAACTAATTGAATTAAATTGAAATATGTTTGCATATTTCAGAGTAATAATGGCAGAGTGAACCCTATTTAAAAAAAAAATAAAACAAGTCAGTAACCAGTCACACTGAAAATAATGTTTTTTCTGTCAGCAAAAGCTGAAGGAAATAAGACAGTAAGCATACAGTAAGCATCCGAGGTTAGTATCAGCTGAGGACCATAACTAAAGGCATGGAATAAGGCAAATGACATTAAGGAACCATTTAAAACACATGTAAAATAATTTTACAAAGACACACACAGTTCAACTGGATTGTGAAAATCTCATACAAAGTCAGGTTGATCACCTGGCTCGAACATTTATATAATAAAACATTATGCTTCTGAAGTTCATTCTAGCATGAAATAAAGAATCTCTTCCTTATGTCATGCAATCTTAAGTTTGAATTTTTGGTCATGAACAATCCAAAGTATGGACAATTCAAGTATCCAATATCTGAGACTTATGCTGACCAATGCTTTCTAACAGTTCTGTAATTCAGACTGTATTTACTAGCGAAGTTATTAGTAGTGTTACTACCGCTAATATCAAAAATATTGCCACAAGTCATTTCAGTAATTCAATACTGATGCTGGGATAAAAGTACAGTGCTCTCCACAACCTCCAGTCACTGAAACTACAGCTCATTACTAATTTTTCTCTCATGCATTAGGCTATTCTTTATGGTCTCTGCCAACGTAGCCAATGCTCTCCTACACTGGATGAGTCTTATCCTTCTCTTCATAATATAAGAGATTGTACCAAATAATACTTACTGGGTGAAAATAATTAATAGAGAAAATTAGTTTAACTTTTGCCTGAATTCAGATTTTATGCATTGGAAGGGAACATACAACAGTATAACACATCTTTTTGCTTTTAGGTTTCTTAAAACACTCTTTGATCAAGAAAGATTAAGGATGTGCAGAGTTTATCTGTTCTGCTCTCAGAGTACCAAGTCACAACCTGTAAAACCTTTATTATGATCAAAGAAAACACTTTTGCAAGACATATTAAATAGATGCACTATATAAGTGTATCCCATTTCTATGATATGTATCAGAGATCAGAACAGATAGAAGGAGTGAACCCTTTCTTTACACTTTCTTTTCTTTTTAAAATATTGATCCTTGCCCATGAATACATCTTCAAGAACTTGGGGTCAGACAAGGAAAAGCAAAATGTGTTTTCTACCTTCCATTTTATAAAGCAAACTTTAGTAACTTTCAGTGAGCCAACAGAACTAAACCAATATCTCCTGTGCTGATTTCATTTATACAATTTTTAAATGCCTTCTTTTCTTCTTCCAGTTTGAACAATATGATATTTTCAACTGTTGATCAGTTTTTGTACTATAAATATGCAAATCTGAAACAGCTGCAATTAGAACTGAAGCATACTTCTGCCTATTGGTTTTCCTAAGAATGGATTAGTTTGTTACCCTAAGAACTCTATGCATCCTGAAACAGTAAATGAAGCCCTAACAGGCTTTCCTTTTTGAAGACAAAACTTAAATGTTGCACAAAACAGCATTATCAAGGCTTTTCAGAGACTGTTTCTAATCCAGGTCATACAAAGAATTGTACTTCTCTACTGTCTTAAAAGATTTAATTGACTTCCATGATGTAACTAAACTTAGTGTATGAGAAGAGATGATGATTATGGAAGGAAATATGCATAATGAACAGCTTAACTAATTCCCTAGAACTAAATGCAATTAAAACTCTTTAATTACCAAAGAAATCATGCAAATGACCTATAATTATAGTGCTTTTAACATTTCGGGAAACAAAATAAGTGTACAAGGTCTTCCTCCATTCTTTCTTCATACTGACACTTATTGTCAACAGCACAGCAACATTTTTAATATATGATGAAAAGTTTACAGAGGTCACATACAAAATGGATTTATTAAGTTTGTTGCACAGAGATGTTATAAACTGCTCACTGTCCTGGCCCACCCACATCCTAAATTTAGAGATGTGAAAGCAGCCAAGTTCTTCCCTGTTTTGCATAAATATTGCAACATCAGCATCACTCCAACCAAGAGAGACAGATGAGATTTATACAGATTTCAGCTGAGATTCTGGCTCCTTTTCTGTAACTTGTGTCACTGAAAAATACTACTGCTATAAGATCTCGCAAAAGGTCACACTAATGTAGGATAATTTTAACTTTGGAATGAACTAGATGCTTAAAAAAGAAAGTAGTAAAGCACATTAATTTATATTTCACTCTGCAGATCTAGCATAAAAGAAAAAATAATCACACTACTTAAGAAAGACATATTATCACCACAACATACCATTACCTCATCTTCCTACATGAAATTTAAGAACAGAAGGAACAAGCTGCTAGTTAGACCTATGGTTTCTACAACAGACCCTCTCTTCCCTATATACCGTAAATGTCTGGATGGAACAATTATATAAATTACAGAGATAATCATATGTGTTAATAGTAAAAATGGACAATCAAAAAGTTTTGAAGGACGGGAGATTAATATCAGTTTTTAAATAAACAATTTTAAAAGCCCGTGTGTATTCTATGCATGGGAAGTAATTATTGAACACATAACTTTGATCACATAGGACATTATTTTACCAACTCTATAGCAGAACAATAGGCATATGTAAAATGGCATATGTACATAGATTCTATACATTCTGTACATAGAATCACAGAATCATAGAGTGGCCTGGGTTGAAAAGGACCACAATGAACACCTAGTTTCAACTCCCCTGCTATGTGCAGGGTTGCCAACCACTGGACCAGGCTGCCCTGGCCTTGAATGCCTCCAGAGATGGAAGGCAAGTTGTTTGCAAAATAAACATTTAAATAAAAAATACCATTTATTGCTTTACAAAGAAAAAATGAAAATAAATTTTTCAACTTCTTAAAAATTGGTAAATAGAGCACAAGATTATTTCATATTTTCTTAAAAGAATCTTCTTTTGGTTGGTTCTGGTCTGATTCAATCCTTTCAACTCACTGAAATCGTTTGCAGACACTGGGATTTAGACACATTTTAGTACTTTGAGGCAAGGTTGAACAGGTTGTATATAGGTATGAAGTACAAATACTGCATTATCTTTGAAGAAAGAATGAGAAGAGTAGGAACTGTGTGCTAATTTCTCCCCTTTCCCCTTAACACTTTCTTTTATTATTACATTGTTTTTCTTATATGCAACACAGAAAACAGCTACTATGGAATTAATAATAAAACATTAGACTTCAGTTTTCATTTTATCTATCATCACCGTTACACTTACATTGCCTTTTGTTCTGTGGTTAAGGTTTTCACGGGGTAAAAAGTACTTAAAAACCCTTCCATCTTACTGAGTTTTAGAACAAAATTAACATAACCTTGCCTTCTAAGGAACTACAGATGGAATGACTCTCCAACCATGTGGGAAAAAAAAATCATTGGGAAAAAGTTGTACTCAGACTAAAAAT